CTTCTCAGTGGACTGGTAAGTATTCTAAGATGCTGCTATGAGGATTAATATGCTGGAACACACATGTAGTCTGTGAGGAGCTGACATGAGGCCTAGTCCTGCTTCCTCTTAAAGTTATTGGAATTTGGACTGGATGTAATATGAACAGTAACTTTGATTAGTCAAAACTCTTCCTGTCCTACTGTCCTACCTTTCATGATTTTTGTGCCTTGCTGTGGAGAAGTATAATAAATTTTACTACGTTCAGTGCATAACATCCCTTTGTTGAGCAATGTTTTCCTAATCTGTCCACCCACATAAGGTGAGCAATGCAGTGGTTTGTTATCGCTTAGTTACAAACCTAGTTACGCACTCCAGCAGATGATGATTAGTATTTGTCTTCTTGTAAGAATGTATTGCATTGAGGAGGTTTTGGTTTTCATCATCTCTGCGAGGTCAGACTGCTCAGCAAAGGAGGTGAGTGGCTGAAATGCGATTTGAGCATTTGGTGTAGAAGGAGATGTAAGACCCCTGCTAGGATCTAAGAGATGATGCTTATAAAAAGAAATGAAAAGAGTGCAAAGACCCACAGCTCTGGTGAGATGCCTTTATCAATGCTGCCAGAGTATACAGAGTCTGTGCTATGCAGGTCACTACTGTGGAGCTTTCCATGGTGATAGTGTGGTCATATTTAAGTATATTTTAATTTTATATTGTATGTGTAAGTGGACTGTATTGCACTTGTTCCTTAACACGGTAGTCTGATCATGCGTGGGTTAGGGAAATCTGCTCATGTCTGAATTCTGCTCTTAGAGATCAGGGCTCAGCTGTGCCTCTTCTGTGTTTTGTATACATTACTCCCTCACTGTCATCCCACAAAGTTATTTTCTTGCATCTGTTTTATTGCCTGTGTTTGGTTCTGTGTAGCATTTAAGTTGTTAGGAGCACTTTGTAGCACTGTCTCTGGTCAGAGTTCAGGACTATGGCTTGGCTTCAGCACAGCTAAGCTGTGGAAGATCCATTTCATTCTTTGGTGATTGGGTTAATCAATTTGGCCTTCTGATGTCCTTTTTTTTGTCTCCCAAATGAAGCCCAACACAGCTGCCTGCAACCCACTGCAGCTGCCTACACGTCTGGTCTAAGAGGAAGCAAGTGGGTATTGTTGAAGCCATGAGTGAGGAAGCCTGTGAAGGTACCAGTGCGATGACACTGCTTGTAGCTACAACAGAAAAGCAGTTCCTTGCAGCACAATGCAACACTGGTTGTTGCCAAGTTGCTCGCTGTTATCCAAAGAAAGGTTAATGCTCCCTTCAAGGAGGATGGTATTTTGTCATGTGACATAGACGCAGAAATGGTGCTTACCATTTGATTTGATAGGAAGCTGGATGGAGGTTCATACTGGTACAGCATTTTTTTCATTCACGTCTTAAAATCTTGTCTTGCATTTTCGTGGGCAATATATTAAATACCTAATATTTTGGAATAGCATCTGCAGAAACTTCAGTACATGATTTTATTTTTGTCCATCAATCAGTTGCTTTTTCTCTGAACAGAGTTCAGTGATGCAGAAAACGCTTGGTCTTTTCATCAGTTATCTCCTGCCTGCTTTCCAGCCCTGTGTGTTGGCCGAAAACCAGCTCTCAGGAGAGGTCAAACGTCAGCACCTCTTAGAAACTGGGCTTCGAGGAGTAGAGTTCTCCCTTCTTTTGCAAGAGACTGTGATGTTCAAAACTACTGTCCCCTTGCATCCTTGGATCATGACAAATGATGCTGCTGAGAACAATTGCAAGCCTGGGATGTCAGTAATCCTCTAAGAAGTTGATAACTTCTTGACTTGTCTCTGTTTTTCCTCAGTGCCTGGCACATGTGTTTGTTTCAAGAAGTCTCATAAACTCTGGAGTACTTCCGAGAACCCTGTGTTTCAGGGAGAGAGATGATGATGCTCCTCTGTGTTTCTTTGTATTTCAAATAGAAGCTAATGCCATTGAGAATGTAAGCCCTCGATGTTGGGGAGTATGTGGTTACAATATCTGTTCTTAAGTGTCCCACAACTTAAGAGAAATTTTTGTAACCTTTTGGGAAGCTTCAATGTATCCACTGTATGCCACCTGCCTTTGAAAACTTGCAAAGAGTGTATCTGGGTATGCTGGTTTTGCAATGTCCTTCGAAATCTGTCCTGCCCCAGCTGGGGCTGAAGTACTGAAAAATTCTCCTCCGTTGTTTAGTTGGTGTGGCTCAGAAAGCATTGGGCAGTGTGCCAAGGTAATGTTAGGTTGAGGCTGGGCAGCAGCATGCAAACCTCACTGAAGGTTGAAAGCATGAAGCCTGGATGGGAATGGGAGCTGGCAGAAGGACTGGGGCAGGTTCCTTGCTCCCAAACCTTGCACTGCCCCTTCACAGCATGACCGTGCTCCAGGCTGCTGATAGGCAGCTCTTCCCTTCTGCCTGTGTACTCCACCCATGTGCATGGCCAGGAGAGGCCTGTTCTGTCAGAGTGAAGGTGTCTTTTTTTGAAGTGTTTGTGGTGTTCTTTGGTGTCACATGCCCTCAGGAAGAGGTAGGAGGAATAGGGGGTGACTGATTCTGAAGCACTCATGGACGGCTCTAGGTCAAGGGGCTGAGCACATAATGAGCAGCTGCCCCTCTCCTTTGCTGCTGAGCAGCCTGTGGAGGTGGTGGGGAGCAGACCAGTCTGCAGTAGCGTACCTGCAGATCTGAACCTAAAGCACCTGCACAACAAAGCCAAATTAGGGCCCCATGGGATTGCTTATGCCGTGGTATTTGCAAGCCTTTGAGAGTTCCACTACAGGCGTATGTGAGTCCCTTTTTGGTTGCTAGCTGATTTTTGCAGATAACTCGGCACACATGGGTGACAAAGGGAGCTCTGGCTGCAACTGGAGAGCAGAGACCATGTGAATGCTGCTGAGAAATAGCAAGCTTCCTTTGCCGGGTTGGGCTGAGCTGGTTGCTCCTCAGCCCTCTGAACAGCAGCTCTCTGGCTCTACCCGCTTAAGATTTGATTTTAGGGTCCTCAACAGAATGTGTTGTTCTGTGTGACCCTCTACAGCACCCAAAGGGACAAGCTTCCTGCAGGAAGCTGTGCTAGCCATGTCTCCTTATCTCATCTGCTGGGTAATGTAGGCCTTAAAACAGAGGGGCCAGCAGCCTATTGGGCTCCTCTGGAAATGGGAAACTTGTGTGCATGTGTGGGAAAGTTTCTGCTGGTGCGAGGCAGCGTGGCAAGGGGCTCAGATGGCCCCTAAGCAATTCCAGATGCCTCCTGTGGCATCAGACATGTGCGGAAGCTGTCCCTGCTGCTGTGGCGACGGAGGTTTTTCCCACAGCTCTCTGCCATTGCTTGGAGAGGTACTTGCTGTGTGGTTGAGAATATTTCTAGTGCTCAAATGGGTCCTTGCAATTTAGCAGGAAGCACCTCTGTCCTGTAAAGTGCTTAGATGTGAAGTGTGTGGTGAACCTGTCACTCGGCTGCATTGGATGGGCTTTCAGTGAAAGCACGTTTTAGCTGTGTAAGGCAAAGAGTTAAAACCTTGGTTTACAACATTGGAAATGGTCACAGAAAAAAAAATAAACTTAGAAGCTGCAAATCAGTGTTCAGGAGGGACAGGACAGTGGCTTCTCTGAAGCTTATTTAAGGATAAATCTCATCGAGAACAAAGTTTTATTGAGAGGCTGTTTCTTAGACCCCTGTTAACATTTTCTTTCAAAAAGTAAATTGAATTGCAGTTATAAAGCTGGCAGAACTCATACCACAGGGCTTTTGGCTTCACTCAGCACTTCGTCTTGGGTTTTACTGGCATTTACAAGGCATTGCCCATGATGCCTTCACACATGTGATTAGGTTCAGGGGTCACTTGCAGCAGTGTAGCAGATTTTTCTGTAGTGGAATGTACCTCCAAAGTTTTCTCAGTCTTCTTAGGCCCTGCACTGAATCCAGTTAACTGAAGCTTGCCCAATTGGTTTCTCACATTCAAGGATTAGGGGCAAGCCTGGATAATTGCACTGTGGCAGAATAGAGTTGGTGGGTTGCTTGGTTCTCCATGCCCCAGAATACATCTGGAGGGGTGTTTCATGTGTTTTCTCTTGTGAAGCTAGAGAAGTTGATCCAATTTTACAGATTTCTCCCTTATAGTCAGATGGGTGTGTGGCATGAAGACGTATTAAGGCTGTTCTGCAATCATCAAGAGCTGCCAAAGGAGATGAAATTCTGAGAAGCACAAACCTCCTGTTTCTAGTGCAGTTTCCTCATTTTTAGTTTGTTTTTATTTGAACAGCTATTGAAAATTCTACGAGAAACTTTCTCACACTTAGTATGTCTGTGTCTATTAGGATAGAGGAGATACAAAGAGAAATGCAAAGCGCTTTCAGCACTGCAGACTTCATGTAGATAAATGAGTGGTTTATGTTAAAAATATCTTTGTAACTAGTTGATTTTTTTTTTTTAAATGGGCTAGAAAATGTGGCTGTAATGCAGGACGGTATGTAAAATCAGGGATTGTAACTTCTGGGTCAGCTCTGTACCTTGACACTGTACCTGTATACAATAAGGTCTTCGCATTCCTCATTCATTTCAGAAGAAGGTCTTGCCCTTCTTCCGTATGAGGTTTGGAAGGCTAATCAGAGATCCTGGCTGTTCACTTCAACCCCCAGTCACTCATGAAACTGCTGTGGGGAAAGGGTAACATCAAGGATTTTCTGGGCCTCTTTTATGCAGGATTCCTGTTGTAACAAAGTTAAATGTCACTGTGTGAAAATATCATCCATTAGTTGCCTGCCAATTAGATTGTATGGCTGGGATAATAAGCTTACTTAGCAGTCACAAAAGACATATCAGAGGTGAAACTAAGCAATATCTTTTGCTGTTGTGTGACAGTCTTTCTTCTTGTTTTTAGTAGTTTCTTCTCAATTTAGCGAGTGTTCTTAAGTGGAAGTTAATCTATGTGCAATATGCCTCAGACATCTTCCTCTAAGACAACTACTATGATGCTTTCTCTCATTTCCAGATTGTCCCCAGCCACCACAACCTGAGAATGGAGGCTACAAATGCCATCCTAGTCCCTGCAATGACCCTCTGACTTCAGGCAGTGTCATAGAGTATCTGTGTGTTGAAGGCTACATGCTGAAAGGAGACTATAAATACCTGACCTGTAAGAATGGAGAGTGGAACCCTGCCATGGAAGTTAGCTGCAGACTCAGCCCGGGTGAGTACTCATTTTATTCAGTGGGACATTCAGAATTACACTGGCCTTTACATTAGCTTTCCAGATTCACTTTAGACAGTGTTGTGCTGAAGCAACCCATACTGCTGTGCTTACTGCTTCAGCAGTTTTCTAAATGCTGCTCACAATCATAGCTCTTTGTCAGAAATGCCTCTTCTCTAGCTGCCCATCAGATGCTAACTCTGGAGTCCTTCCTGCAAAGAGAAAGCCTATGGAGAGTAGTATAAAGCCAGGTAACTTGTTACTTAGGTGGACACTTTCTTTGACAGCTCTCATCTCAGAAACAGGCGAGGCCTTGAAACTGAAGCATTTTCCCTGCTCCTGATAGGTTTGACAGTGCATCTTCCTCAGTGGTGTACCCTTCTGTCCACGTGTATATGCATGTCAGTACACAGACCTGATCTCCTTTGCAAATTAACTAACTGTTGGCCTCCTGTGGCAGAGAGCTTCATGGTGCTACTTTACACTGTACTGGCAGGAAAAGACATTGCTGACAAATGGTGTCTGCTTCTCTCCAAATCAATGTGGGCAGTTTCTGTTTTACGGTTTTTACCAGTTGAATGGGATTTCCTTCATGAAAGGAAAAAGGTAGAAAGGTTTGCAGGAAAATTCATTGTACAGCTCCTGTCTGCCACCTGCTTTTCTGGATTTAAAGCATGGGTACTGGATAAAGAGAAAATCCTTTTGCTTTTCAAGTTTGGCCTGCTGTTAGAATTTAACTGCTCAGTCATCTAGAGTCAGTAAGATGCGTGCAGTCTGAGGTTATGTCATGTAATCCACAAAGCAGAATGTGTTAACTTAATCAGAAATAAACACAAAAGCTTGTTCAAGGTCCTTTTGGAGCTAGCTGCATATCTGAAAACTCTAGAACATCCTGTCCCAAACACACTATCAGTATCTGCCACAGCCACTCCAACAGCTCCTTCCTGTGACGTATAAGAAAGTGGGACTGGAAGTTCACCTGGCAGCAACTGGATCCTGAAGAGGCTTTTAAATTCAGCACAGGCTTCCTTTCCCCTTGCTGCACCCAGGCGGCAGAAGAAAGCTTTGCAAGTGGAGCTCTGAATGGTGTTCCAGCACAATGGCCCTTGGTTTACCTCAGGGCTAAAGGAATTGTGTTGCGATGAGATGCAGTCCCTCAGATTTCTTTAACATCCTGTAGGTTTGGTGGCCTTAAAATGTGTGGGGTTTCAAAAGCCTGGCTGAGTGATAAAGCTATTGCTTTCACAGTACTGGCTTTGAAACAATTGCTCAGTCAGTTGAGGTTTAACGAACAGGAGTCCTCCACAAAACAAAAAGGAGGAAGACTGTGGAAAGAAAATGGATAGGTCTTAAGATGATGGATGATGGGTAGCATCTCTCTTGTGCCATACACAACAAATGAAACCCCTGGCAATTATCAGCTATTTTCTGTAGCTCTGAGCCTGTCAGCCTCGCAGCCTTTTGGCAGCTTCTTGTGAGCATCCTGTTGAAATCTGAGGTGATGAATATGCTGAGCTGTACTCTGTGTGGTGAGTAGTCTTGCGGAATTGTATATCAATTCTGAATGTAGAGCACTCCTGTTTGCCTACCTTCTTCCCTGTCAGTGTATTTGTAGTGCCCTGAGTAATCTTGAGAACGGAAATACTTAGTCTTGTTTACCAGGAGGAAAAATGTAGTAGGTGCAGTTTTGACTTGGGGACACTTCAAGCTACTTTTGAACTTGTTTCAAGAAAATTTTCAGAATAACTGAATCCGTAAGTTTTGTCCTAAAATAAGATAAAATGCTAACAGTCTTTCCAAATTACCTGCTTCAAGTATACCAGTCAGGCTATACCCAGGCTATAGCTTAAAAACAGTGGTCCTCCAGCTTTCTTCTTCTTGTTTGCTCTCTTTCCTCTTTATCTCTGTATGATAATTATTTTGCAGTTTGTCAACTGTTCCCCAGAGAATGTTATAAGTGTAGCAAAAAGAAATTGTGGAATTGCATTGTCCTGAAATGGACAGTAATGTTTGCTGATGGAGTTCTGAGGTGTGTAGAGATCTAACAGAGACATAAATTAAGGACAGAGACAGCACATGTGCAGGCAATTATGTGTTCTAAGGAGGTGAAAGAACTAGCGTGACATTCTAGGCATGACATGCAGTGCTCAGCTATGCCAACTCCAGGCCCTTCTCTGCCAACTCCTAATATATTTGTGCCTTGCAATGGACCTTTAAAAGTCAAAATGTTTCTTGTACAGTCACGCAGCACAGATGAGGAAAGGGCAAGGGGGGGGGATAATGTGGACAGAGTATGTGTATCTAATACTGAAAACTCAGTGTCTTAAAGCAACAGCTCCCTTCCTTCTCCATTTCCCGCAGTATGTGTTTGTGTGAGAAAGAAATTGAATGCTTCTGCATCTCAAATAATAGCAGGCCAGGTGACTTCCACTCCCTTTCTTTGGGAAACTGTTCAATTAGTCAAGAAAATCCATTATTTGGAACTTTTTCTATTGTTTGGCCTTAGAATATCCTGCTTTTTGTGCTAGACAATTGCTGACCTTGGTGGTGACATCAGGACATTTTTTTGTTTAGCTGTTGCTCAATCAGATGTAAATATAACATGACCCTTACCACCACTCCCCCACTGTCTGTATGTGACCAGCTTGCATCCTCTTTCTGTGTGTGCCATATGTTTTTCCAAAATACCCTTATATGTGCATGTTTTGTTTCATGTTTCCTTTGCAGTTGATGGAGAGGGATCAGTTTGAGCCCTGAAGGATGTAACTGCTCTGCCTTGACTTTACCAGAAACTTGTGCTCTTCACCTTTGCCCCCAAAAATAGCTCTGGAAGGAAGGCGACATGAATGTTACTCGTTTCCTACAGTAGTAATGTAAGAGAGTGAATCATTTAGTGTTCCTCTTGATTTTGCAGAAAAGGACTCCCCGCCAACGATTGGAGTACCCACGCTATCCATAGTAGCCTCCACAGCGAGCTCTGTTGCTCTGATTCTTCTCTTAGTTGTGCTGTTTGTGTTGTTGCAGCCAAAGCTGAAGTCGTTCCATCACAGCAGGTAAGTGTAGCTGGGGCTTAGACAGGCTCCAGGGTATTTTGTTTCTCTGCAGCAGAGAAACTCAACAAGGGGCTTGGTTTGGGCCTTCATTTTACTTCCCTGCCCTACTTCTGCCCTGTGAGTCAGGGCAATTCCCATGAGAGGCTATTTTCAGTCAGAAACTTCAGGTAAACTAGAACCTAGAATCCAAACATTTGGATTACGAAGGGCAGGTTGGTGACAAGGCCTGGCAACAGTACAGTCTAATTTCCAGGAAAGAAGAGGCAGTGTTCCTGTGTCGTATCTAAGCTATTGTTCTAATAGACTGTAGATCTACATGGCTGACTTCTTTTAGCCTGCTGCAGTGAGCTACCTGAGTAGGCAGAGGGCTGTCTGGGTTTCACAGCCTGGCCTCACTGCCTCCCTTCTGTTTTCCCAGAAATAAGGTGCCTGTGTATGAATGTTGTGCCCCACACTGCTGTATTCCTCAGATCACTGGCACCTCTGCCCCATGATCCTCCAGCAGTAGTCTGAAACACTGGCCAGCAATACCCATCTGCACTCACTTTTCTATCATGCCATCTAATTAGTGGTTTCTTTGCCCTTTTTCTGTGGCCTTAAATGTTAAAAGTTATAAATCCTACTATTGATCAATCTCCTGCCTCTTCTAGTCATGGGTAGTTACTGAAGTAGGTGTCTGGGTATATATGCATCTCCCCAAGTCTGTCTAAGTGGTACTATGGTCCTGAATCCTGCCGGTATTGCTGATGATGTACATGTGCAAATATGCCATGGTTGCTTGCACAGGGAGGAGAGCCCTCCTGGCCTAAGTCTGTGGATGAGAGAAGGGACCCAGCTGTAACACTGCTGCCAGCTGATGTCAAAAGTGTCACTATGGAGTCCTTCTTCACAACAGATGAATAATATTTCATAAATAGGAGCAGAGATGTGCCTGTCCAACACTGGGGGAGGTTCAGGGGCCAGATACAGGAATTTGTCCTTTTCTGCAGAAGTCTAAACCAGCATGGAAAATACAAATTCAGTCTCAGGACTCTGACCCGTTGACCTAGGTTTATCCACACTGTGACAACTGAAGAGCTATCAGACCTACCTGTGCTAGCCAGTTATCTTACCAGCAGCATAGGTAGCAGAACAGCATTTGGTGTTTCAGAGCAGAGCACTGTAACAAACTGAAATCAACAGTGGTCAGTTTTCTTTACCTACAGACTGCAACAGCAGAGGCCCTGATTCATGATCTTTGTCAGATTTAGCCACTGAGGCAGGTGAGGTGGGAGACAGTGTAACCTTCGTCACTTCGAATTACAGCCCCAATCATGTGTATGGCAGTTCACAGTAGAGCTTCAAAGCCATGCTTGTTTAACTTCAGTAATCCAGCATTCATGTTTGTAGTGAGCATTATAATTTTGCTGTGGTGAAGGTGGGAGGCTGCCGGGATTCTTGGTAACGAAAACACATATAAAATATAAGTGCTCAACTTTTCTCCCCCTTTTTTTTTTTTTTTTTTTTTTTTGAGGCGAGACCAAGGTGTGTCTGGAGATCAGGTCTCTATCATGGTGGATGGTGTCCAAGTGGCCTTGCCATCTTATGAAGAAGCAGTGTATGGCAGCACAGGGAACTGCATTCCACCCTCGGACTCCCGGGTGCAAATTGTGCTGTCAGAGGGAGCTGGGCAGAACGGAACCAGAGAGATGCAGCAACAGGACCAAGGGGTTCACAGTAGCCTTGATAGAGAAGATGAAGCCCCCGGACACTCTGGACTGTGTGAAGCTAGTGGTTCTCAGCGTTCTGAAACTGTTCTTGTGCATCAGGCTGCTACCTCTTCCTGGGTAGCTGGGATGGCTAGCAGTAGACCTGTACAGAAAGAACTCCAAGACTCAGAAAGCAGTGACATACAGAGCCTTTTATCACTCACTTCCTCTGAGGAATACACAGATGGTACGTGACTTGGGCAAGGAGCGCTATATGAGACTCTTAAAAGAGTATGCTGGGGTTCATAGAATCGTAGAATGGCCTGGGTTGAAAAGTACACAGTGATCAAATAATTTCAATCCCCCTGCTACTTGCAGGGTTGCCAACCACCAGATCAGGCTGTCCAGAGCCACATCCAGCCTGGCCTTGAATGCCTTCGGGGATGGGGCATCCACAGCCTCCTTGGGCAACCTGTTCCAGTTTGTCACCACCCTCTGTGGGTTCTGTTTCTCAGTCTTGATTCAGCAAGCGATTTGCAGAGGAATGCTGACCTCAAGCATCATTGTGCAAAGGCAGTAAAATAGCTGCATTTATGCAAAACAAGTGGGTGGAAGTGGGAGGGTATGCTTGAAATACAAAGCCCTTGTAATGTTTAAGCTTCTTCATTTTTAGATGATTTTAGTTAGCAGCTTACTATCACAGTACAGTGGGTGCTGCAGCCCAAGCGTGTGGGAAAACACAAGGAATGTGTTTGAACTTACTGTACAGAGCAGAGGTGCAAATCTTTTTGATAGTTAGAGGATCTTGTGTTCTTAACTTCACTGTTCTACCCTGAAGCTGTTACTTTACAATGGCAGAGCTGGTGTGAAGCTGCAGTCTAAGATTGCTTTTGCAGAGACTGCTGTGCCTTCAGACAAGAAAAGATGTAACTGACTTGTAGATAGATCAGGATAGAACTCATTTCTGTGGTGTCAAGCCCTACAGCCTTAGTAATGCCATCCAGAAGCCTTGCAATGAAAACAATAAAAGGAGATTTCCATTGAAGGGTGGAAGGAAGGGTGGGAGTGGCAACATGTAATGAGATGGGCATTAAACCTCCAGTATGTAAACAGTGAAACCTAAAAGTGGTGCTTACTCAAAAGAGTCCACAGCAAACTTATCACAGTGTGTTACCTCTGTGTTGTGTCATGTTCTGTCACTGCCTGGAAACATGTATTCCTTCTGATATAACTTGCACAATAACAGGTTGCCCTATACAGCAAAAAGCCATAAAGCTTGTGCTTATGGTTCAAAGATAAGGAAGCTGCAGCTACTGGAGGAGTCAGATAGGGGCAGGTGTTATATGTGTATTCTCAGCCACCCCAGACATAGCAAGAAACTACTTGTCTCAGACATGTTGAAAAACTAAGAGTTTGGTGAGGTCATGGGGAAAAAAGAGAAGGAAGTTATTACCCTTCCCTGCACTATACTGAGGCTTTAGTGGGAATATTTTTTCTTCTTGTGGGACTTCCAGCTTAAGAGGTGGAGGAAACTGGACAGGCACTGCTGGAAGCCTGCCAAGACAGTTGAGGGCTGGGAGGGAGCTGGGCTTAATCTGGTGAAACATGAAGTATAACTTGACAGAGTCAGATTGGACACTAGGAAAATATTTCCTGCTAGGAGGGCAGTGCAGGGCCAGACATCTGAGATTTTTTAAGACTGGGGGTGATGATGGTCGGTTGGCCCTCCAGAGGTCCCTTCTGCTCTGCTACAATGACAAGAAGAGTGCTGTTACCACATAATGGAAATGGGACCCTGTCTTGCAAGAGTAATTTTTATGGTGTGTGTTGAATGACTGAAGTTTGACTTTTTTTTTTTTTTTTTTAACTTTGTTTCTCTCCCCACCATTCAGATATTCCCTTACTGAAGGAAGCATGAGGCCTGCTGTACGTGTCTAGCCTTCTCGCTCTTGGATTTCTTCCTTCTCCCCTCCCTGCCTTCAGGACAGAAGCACTCTGTGCAGCCTTCCCCATCCTCGCGAGCTGTGCCCTGGATACCTCTAAGCAGAGATGCCCTCAGCTGAAGATCCAAAGGATGTTGCCAGGTTGCCTCCTGGATGCACCAGTGGGGTTGGTGCAGTGCTGGCTTCCCCATTCCATATGCATCAGAGACTCAAGGAACGTAGTGGATTTGAGCTCTCCTCTCCTTTTCCCCAGCCAGATGTTTGACAGCAGTCTCTGAAGAGCTGCTCTTTTCTTGTGCCTTTTTCCTCCTCACACCGGCTTGTTGCAGCTTGGCAGCCTCTCTAGCCCTTCTGTTGCCCAGAGAGCAGAGGCTGAAACCATTTGCTCTCTGGGTGCAGACAGTTTATATATACATATATATGTTATATAGGCTCTTCTTCCTCTTTATAACAGAGCAGGACAAACCACCTCACTGGGACTGACACTGGCCTGGAGAGGGATCCCAGGTAAGGGGCACCTGTAATATCTAGGAGCGCCTCAAATGAGATAAGCTGCGAGGCAGCTTAGCTGTGCAATAACAGTGGAGAATTGCTAGAGTACTGAAGGCTGAGAAGTCCAAAACATAGGAAAGCCCTCTGCCCCCTTCTCAAAACACACCTCTACAAGAGTCCACTCCTGAAAAATCACTTTTGTCTCCTTCCTTCACTACTAGTGCAGCCCACTTGGTTAACGCTGTGTTTCTGGAGGCTGTGACTGGGACTATACTGATAAAACCACTCTTTCAGCTTTGGTCTGGTGCCAGAGCATCTCCTGATGTTAGATTGTGGAAGAGCCTTGGGAAATGGGAACTGTGCAGAAAGCTCTGACTTTCTCTGATTTGGTAGCATTCGTTTTTAGGCATCAGGAATGGAACCATATTTGTGGCCCTGCTCTTCTGAATAAACTGTGTGACTTACAGAGCTTTTCCAATGAAGGTGGTTCTGCACTAATGCTTAGATTCCTTTGGTCAGATCTTCAGGCAGAGATAATGCTTTCGGATGTAATCTGGAAGCAGTTCATGTGTTTGAAATTGTCAAGAGTCCCAGGCTACCTTCCCAGCTGCACTAGGTATTTTGGTATATGAGCTCTCGATACCTTCTAAGGGGCTACTATATAGCAAGTGTCTGCTGTTATCTCCTGATGGGCTTCAGTGGGCTCCCAGAGAAGGGCTTCTTCATTTTGGCTTGGGGTCAATAGCACTTACAAGGTCTCTTCTAAGTACAACACAGGTGGCCTGTTGCTGCAAGAGAAGGTTGGCTACACTGACCAGAGGATACCACAGCTTAAGTTCTGGCAGCAGGGAAAAGAAAATCCAGAAATATGGATACCTCTGCTCCCTACAGTTACCTACAGCAGGTCAGAATATCCTGGTTGCTGTTAAGGGGACTTCATTTTTTTGCAGCAAATCAACTTCATTTGGGGTAGGTGATCCAGTCACAGATCTGGGCTGCCTCTTTAGAGGGATGGTCTGGAAACTGGGTTCCGTGGAACTGGTTTTATCAGGAAAAGTTGGCTTCTTAAGTGCAGGTATGTTGTCATAACTATCCTGAAGTAGCCAGAGAAATATGAGAAGTTGTTGAATTTTCATTTGAGTTGAAGGAGCAAAGTGCCACAGCCTTATATGTCAGGTGGCAATGATCAGGTAAATGGGGGTGCTCTTTGCTGCTTTGCTTTAATTTTATGATCCTTACTGTCTTCATCCTTGTTGCTCCAAGATCATGCTGTCAGACCACTTAGTAAAAGTGACATAACACCTTAAAAATAAAATAATATTTGCTGTGGCTTAGCTCTGGTTCCTGGAAATGGGGCTTGGCTGCAGTCTGGCCCTGCACCTGCTGTTTCTGATTAGCTGCTTAATCCTAGGGCAGCTGGGTCAGTGCGTGCCTGTGGATGGAAGAATTATTTTTTCCTCATCCCTGTTCAGAGGGATATTAATAATTTAAGAATGCAGGATTTTAAGTTTCCTTCCCTGTTGCTCATGTTATCTTTCATTAACACGAGGACTTGATAAATCCAGTTTGTGTGGTTTGGGTATTCTTTTGTTCAGTTGAAATGATGAAAATCCCATGTTGTTTTACAGTGGGCTGTTTTGTTTCGTATTCAAGGACTGTAGAGTGATAATGTTTACACATCTGTTATTGAAATTTTGGAAAATAAGAGTGGAAGTGTTTATATTTAGTTTTCAACTCCTACCTTGACAATTAAAATTGTCTCTTTCACTGGTTTTATCAGGGCATGTGGAGAGACTGAGCAACTGCAAGGCTGAGGGGGAGAATATGCGACTTTCCTAAGTCACGTATTTTCTAAGAACTAACCAGCTCAGAGCAGGAGTTGCTCTTAGATTCTTAAGGACCTTCCTACTCAAACCTGAGCAATCAGGGAGTAGAAGTTAGGCGTGTGCTGCCTTCCTGCAAGGAGCAGTCCTTCTGGCTCAGTACCGGTTTGGTGAAAGAACCTCTTAATGAAGCTGGAAGCTGATGCCAAGGCTGACCTTGCCCTGGATGATTGCCTGCTCAACTAGCAGAAAGCACGTACTGTGTGGTCCTGCCTCTGCTCTCTGCTGTTATAAAGTAAGCAGCTGCCAGCTTAGGAGAAAAAAAATTCCATTTGGGTGGGAAGAGAAGGAAGCTGCACAGAAGAGGGAGTGCTTTCATTTTGTTTCACTTACAGAAATTATGGAAATCAGCTTTAGTAGGTGGGAAAAATAGGCAGAGGTAGGAGGAAAACAAGCAAGCATAGGTGTTGTGATCAGGCACTAACAGTTAGCCTCTGTTGGGCTGCATGAGGATGAAGCAGGATCTCCCAGGATGCTTTATATTTTCATATAAAAGAGGGTAAAATGGTTCTGGGAGGAGCCTAAGCAGCGACTGCTTGACAACTTTTTCCAAATGGGAGAGGGGTTAAGGACTCATTTCATTTACTGGTCCACGAGTGATTGTTACTTTTTTGTTCTTATTCAGTGGAGGATTGGGAAGGCCTTGGGACAGAGGTTTAGGAAGATTAACTAAACTGAAGAATCCTGTCTTCTCTTCTGAGAGCAAGGGCTGACATGTAAAGATCCCTCAGCCTGAGCCCTGCTCTTGCAGGTTGTTGGTCATCTATGAGAGTGTCCCCAGGATTGCTGTCACAGGGAGGTCTCCGTGTACTGATGGGGTGTGCGGGGACTCAACCTCACAAGATGCAGCATGGTGGTGTCTTGCTTTGGTTTCTTTTCCACCTTTTCCCCCCCTACACCTGGAAAAAAAATGCAGAGGGAAATATGTTTCTTATTTAATGCCCCTGATGTAATCATCTTACATTGTGTCATTTGTGCTTGGCCCCACGAAATGCAAGAACATTAAAATGAATTATAATGGAAGAATAAAAATAGCACTTTCTACTTTTTTTTTTTTGGTATTTTGAGGTCCAGTATTTAAAAAAATAAAAGGGCAAGTCAAAAATTTGAAGTACTACGTGCAATAGAAAAATGGGGACAATTGCAAGGAGCAGTGCTTTGAGGGAGCAGCAGGCTGGGCTGCTGGAAGTAACCACATGTTAGTTAAGTGACGTGCAGTGCAGAACAGGGAACGCAGGAAGGGATTGGGGTGGGTGAGGAAGAGCAGTGGCCAATAAGAGAAGTATGCTGCAGGCTAATGATAGCCAATGCCTTCATGACCAGGTTCTAAGGGAGTTGTGCTTTGTCTGGATTTAGCAGGCTTCTAGGCTTGCTGGATAAAAGTATTAATGTACAACTAGTAGGACACTAAGATCTCCTTGCTGACCTTGGAACAGGCTTGCAAAGCCTGGTTTTCATGTTCTGATAGCAGTTGTTCTACAGAATCTGCCTTTTTATTCTCTCCAGATATCAGATTAAATTGATTTCACTTTCTGGTTTCTGTATATAAATGCAATAAACCCCTATCCATTTTCCACATTGACCTCACCCCAGCTTCAACCTTCAGCCCTTCCCACAGAGCTACACACTGAACTTGTTCTTTGAGAAAACCTTTCTTTGCTGAAGAACTTTATTTGAAAAAATTATTCTCTATGAAATGCTTTGAAACTGCATAGAGGTTTCTTACAGCGGGCTTCATTTTAAGGCGTATTTTTATACAGGAGATGAGCCCTCCTCCAGTCCTTCACCCCTTCCCCTGCCCTCCCAGCCAGTTTGGAGCAGGGTGTTTCCCACACAGGCCCTACGTTCAGCACTGCTTCAGGCGGATTGCTGCAGGTTCCTTACACATCCATGCCCACCAGCGCAGTCCTGATGCTTTTGCATTTCTTTTTCGTAGGCTCTGCTTTTGCTTCCATCCTGGGGTAGGCACAGACAGAGGCAACGGAGTTGTGCTGGAAAACGTTTCAGTTCTGATTCTCAACTTCACTTTTTTTTTTTTCCCCACTCAAAAAGAACAGAAAGCTAAGTTGCCAAGGAAGCAGCTGTGCTGTGGTGTGGTGGGCAGACTGCTGGTAGCTGCTGGTGCGAATGCAAGGAGAGCTTGGTTGCCTTTGGTGCATTAATCTTTTCTTCTTTTCCTATATGTGTTTGTTATTTTTTTTAAATTCTGAATTGCACCACTATAGAATTATTTGCAGAATGGTACTCCATATGTATGTGGGATTAAAAACAAGACCATAATTGATGCTGTGCAGGATGTCATTCAATCAGTTCTATTTTGCTTTATTTTATATATATTTTCTGGTATCCTGTACATTGCGGTGGGTGTGAAGATAGTATTTTAATATTTGTACAAAGTTTAATTTAATTGTTCTCTGTATATAACTGCATTTCTAAATTAAAAAAAAAAAAAAGTTCTTTTGAAGTGAAGCCATGATCTGTCTGTGTTTCGAACTGCTCGGGCCTCATGGACTGAAGGTGTGACAGATCAGTGAGTGCTGCAGAACTGAAGTGCCATCCATGTGGAGGATGATGCTGAAGCTTGGGGGATGCTGAAACAGAGGAAGAGATTACTGAGCTGATACATCCCTCTGAGGTGGTATTCCTCGAAGTGACCTTGCTTGGGAACAGAGGCATCCCTTGATGTGCCTGTGTGTCACAGTGTGAGGAGCTGGGCCAGGCTTCTGCTGCTCTAGGCTGTGTTACCTGAGAGAGAGCCAGCAGCCACACAGCCAAGATGAAGAGAACGTGGCACCAGTATGTGGATTTCCAGCAGCAGCGATAGGAATGCAGGAACCCTGGGTGCCTGCATGAGGTGGAGAAGGCAACAGCAACACAGCACGATGTGAATGGCGTGGGACATGGGCTGGGTGAGAGCCTTGGCAGAGGTCCTGAGTGGGGGTGGAGGTTGGATCTGAACTTGATGCAAGGAGAGAAACTGTAGAGGGATGAATGGACTCCAACCTGAGCCGGAGCTCAAAGCTGTGCCAGTCCTTTGTTAGTGCAATATTTCAAAGTTCCAAGGTAATACTGCCCCTTGAGGTGACTGTGCCGGTGGGAGCTCCTTGCTTTTCAGTTGATCTGTAAGCAGTGGGATAGGAAAGGGAAGGAGATTGGAAGGCAGGGAGAGATGAGATCATCCTGGTCAGCTTGTTCAAAGTAGAGTCCTGAAAGATGCTATGACAATTTTGTTTACTCGCATATGCATTTTCCTCTGGGGAGGAGCAGGCAGGTTAAACAAGGGAAGAGCTGACATCTGTCTTCTTTCCGTTTCCATTTATTCTTTAAATAATTCCCACACAGTAAACTGATCTTGCTGTGGTTTCATGCTGAAACTGGAGCTCTGTGCCCGGCGCCAGGCAGTGCTGTGTGGGAGACAGTGGCCTCCAGGAATGGCTTTTAAATAGTTTAAGTTATTAAACTGCGCCGCCTGTGTTCTCTGCTGGCTGTGTTCTCCGCAGCAACACTGGCAGCCAGAAGCAGGCCCTCGTGTTGTTTTGCACTTCTTATCTTGCTAGCTTATAACTGCGGGCTTTAAATCTTCAGCAGGACTGTATTGTGGAGGTCCCTCCTTCAGTGGCTGCTTTCCCTAGGAGGCTGCGTTCCCTGCAGTGGGGCCTGGTGCTGGGGGTGAGCCCTCTTGTGTCAGAGCAGGCTGAGCCCAGAGCAGTGACCAGTGTGGTAACAGGGGACAGATATCGATTCTCCTCCTTGGGCAAGCACAGGAACAAGGCAGCACGCACTGCATAATCACGCTCTCCTTGTCTGCCTTTGTGGCTAGCGGGTCTGACATGGATCCATTGTGCCCTGGGGGGCTGCACTTCTGCTTCCAGTTCAAGGCAGATCAGTGGGGCTCTGACACGGTCATGTAGGGAGGCCAGCTGCTGTCTTTGCCGTGTTTTGGCCACAACATCAGGAATTTAAGAATAAGGCAGGAAAAATGAGACCTAAGGGAGCACAGGAGGGGTTCCGTTGAAGAGGCACGTGGTGCTGGGGTACCTCTCTTGGGAGTAGCACCCACGGACTCAGCATGACTTTTCAAGGATGTTTGCTCCTGTGCTTCGCAAGTGTCACATGCAAGTGAGTGCCGAGTTTAATGCAAGATGGAACACAGGCCTCCAGCTGTGTGGGGAGATGCTATGGGGCAAGCTGCTCTCTCTGGAGCAGTGTCTCATTGTTTCCTATGGGAGAGGGGACAAATTTTCCTAATGTGAGGCCCTTCTGGGCAGCTTTTGCAGTTTCATCTGTGATTTTCAGAGTGAAAAAAATACATGCATTTTTTTAATGTCCAAAGCCCAAAGTACTTCTCTTGTTCTATTGGATTCCATAACCTAAAAAGTTATTTAAAACTTTTATGTGTCTCCTTTCTAGTCTGGTGAGAGAATGTGGATATTAATGCTTGAGGGGGATTCCCTCCCTCCTGCTCACTAAAGAAAGCTTGCCTTGTCCCAGTGTTTTTCTTCTGCCTGTCTCCATAGAAAATATTTGTGACGTGGGGTCTGCTATTCATTATAAGCTCCCAGCAGAGAAAGATCAATGAGACTTTAAATAAAACAGCTGTGAGCTAGTTTGTCATTGAGCTATTGAGGTTAGAAGCATTTCTAACAAGAATGCATTGGAACTGCAGGGTTAGGGCCTTTGTTCCCTTTTCCAGGAGTCCCACAGGGGCACTCCCTGGCAGTAGAGCCCTGCCCCAAGGCTCTTCCAAAGTAAATTCTCTGGTGTGGATGCAGATGTGAACCTCACTGCTATTCCTCTGCCAGCAGAGCATAATTACTGTATGGTTACACGGTTGATGAAATTGCAGCTGGTTTCCCAGCAAGACCTCTCAAAAGATTAGAGGAGACAGGGTGTCATATATATTTATACATATGTATGTGTGTGTGTGTGTAAGTTCTACTCTTCACACTCTGTGTTTTACCTGTGCAAGATAACAGCTTGTTCAAAGTCTGTTGTGATGACAGCTTAATGAGTTTGTTTAATTTAACCTAAAAAGGAGGTGTAAACCCACAAGTGATGGGACACATACCACTCTGCTGAGGCTGGAAGAGCACACGAAGGCAGGAGAAAAGCACTGCAGGTAATATAAACATGAAAAACCACACACAGTACTGACAACACTCCAGCATTCTGCAAGGGTTTTGCTGTGACATCTCAAAGATATCTCGAAGTAATCTGTACCACAGCTTTGCTACATCTGGAGTCTACTACAACACACAACAACTTTGTGCGGTTTTTTTTCCCATCAAATTATCTTCATGAACTGTATGGGAACCGTATGTGTGTTTGAGCACTCCTCTGCCACATGAAAGCTATGAGGTTAAAACGTACCTTACTATCATGAGGCAGATCAGCGCTTCTCCCTTGAATACCATATGTGTAGACAAATCCCAAAATAGGTTTTAGCTGATTCTGCAATGCTAGTTTATATATAGAGTTACTTTTAGATTTAACTCAAGGCTTTGTACACTGTTACTGCTTTCCAGATGGGTATTTCTGACCTTGTCCTGGTGGATCAGCCTTCCTAAACATAGCCTGCCCCTGTCCTTGCAGATTTTAATCTTGTTGAATCATTGCTTTTCTTTGTCAGACTCTTTCTGAATTGTCTTCTTGTCTTCACAGTGCTTGAATCTTTCCTCAGGCTAACTCTCCTGCATGTTTTAGCACTGCGTGCTCTGATCTGCTTAGAACTGTTAATGCAGGTGCTGAACAGCCCTGTGCTGAGCAGGGCTTCCTCATTCTGCAAAGGAGTTGTCCTTGAATTTGTCAAGGAGCTATTCTGAATGCAAATGCTGAAAAATTTGTGCTTCTATTATACAGCGAATTCTATCCTGGCATCTTTCTGTTTGCTTAAGAAAATGCCATATATGACATAGCACTGAATTTTTTCCTACAGCCAGGTTTAACACATCTCTATTTTTCCCCTTCTCCATAGATTAGTAATTCCAATTAGGAGCATTGGATTGGTCTGAAACAGCTTGCCAAGGGCCTGCCTGTAGGTGTGAGCAGCTTAGCAGCTTAATGGATGAAAGTGCTTATACGTTGATTATTTAATCTTTTGTTATATTGCCGCTCTGACCTCTGAAGGCAAACTTGCCGATAAAAGCATCACTGCACCTACTGGCAGCGAGGTACTCAGGGCCATGCTACAGCTTCCTCAGCTGTATTGGTGTATTCCTCAGCTCAGGTTCATTGGTGACTTCAGTGAGTTTAAGGATGACAAGCCTTACTTCAGCATAGGGGAACCCGGTCCATCCTTCTTTCCTATATAATAACATATATAATAATTTCCTATTATTATCGACGTTCTCCGCACCCTTTTGTAAATTAGGCAAGAGCTGCAGCCGACACGGCACGCTCGGCTTTGCACCCCGCGCCCCTGGGGTGAGGAGGAGTTGCGCCCCCATCTCAGCTGTTCGGCGGAGCGCAGCCGCACCTGCTCACAGCGGCCCGCGGCTCTGCCCCCGGCCCGCCTCCCCCCCGACCCAGATTCTCGGGGGGCGTGGCCAAGCGCCTCCGCCAATCGCCGCGCGGTGCCGCAGCCGGGAGGGGCGGGGCCAGGACGCGGAGCCGCCTCCATTTTGCGGCGCAGCGGCGGGGCGGAGCGCAGTCGGCAGCGAGCCGCCGCGCAGGGAGCAGTAGCCAGCAGCCAGCGCAGCATTGGCCTGCCAGTGTCCGGCGGACTGCACGCACCGGCATCCGCGGCCCAGGTTCGTGAGGGGTGGAGGGCGCGCAGCCTCCCTGCGCAACTGCAGCGGGTAGCCGGGTCTGGAGGGCTGTCGGCCGAGGGAGTTCCGTTGCCGCGCGGGGCACCCGGCGGGCCCGCTTTCTGCTGTTCCGCGCTCACCCGGGGCTCCTCACGCCGCTGGGTGCGGCCCGCGCCGCCATTTTGTAGCTGAGCGGTAGCGTTCGCTTTTCTTCCCTCCGCTTTGGGGCCTGCGCGCATGCGCCGGCGGCCCTGAGGAGGGCGGGCCGTGCCGCGGGCGGGCCTACGCGGGTGCAAACGGTGTTCCGTTGGCGCGGGCCGGGGCGTACTCCACCCGGCTCGTTCCTATTGGGCCGCCGCGGGGGCGAGGCCGGCCGCGGGCGGAGGGCGGCTGCGCGGGGCGGAGCCGTGCTGAGTCACCGGGCGCGGCCGGAGTCGGGGCTGACGGCGTCTCCCGCAGTGAGCTCCGCGTCTCCAGCCATGAGCGGCTGCCGCGTCTTCATCGGGAGGCTGAACCCCGCCGCCAGGGAGAAGGACGTGGAGAGGTTCTTCAAGGGGTACGGCCGCATCCGGGACATCGACCTGAAGAGGGGCTTCGGGTTTGTGGTGAGTGCGCCCTGTCCCGGGCCCCTTACCGCCCCAGGCGGGGTGTGTCGCGCAGGCGTGCGGTGTGTGAGCGGCTCCGTGGGGCGGAATTTCTCGTTTCCACTAAGTCGCTG